GGTACTCACAGTTAAGGAGGGCCATGCATCCTTTTCCCAAAGGGAAGAAAAAGTTATGTAAAAGCATATAAAGTTCATATATTTCTGTTGTGTGAAAAACTATTCAGCCATTTTTCATATATGAAAATGATGGAATTGGGATAGAGGTAAGCCTTCTGCCATGAATGGTTGTTTGTGGTCTGGTTTGGAACAACTCAGTGGCTTGATATACAGATTCCTACCTTACCTTTTTCCCTGATGCCAATAAAAAAATGTGTAAGATTTCATAACTTTTTCATCACTTTTCAAATGTTAGAGTTGACATCAGGTGACTCTAAACTCACACCTTGGGCCTGGGTGCAGAATTGTGGGCATGTAAAGAAAGGAATTATGCTTACCCTAATATAACCTAGGTTATAGAGGCACAAGAAGTTGCCCCATGTGGACTGTAGAATCCAAAATCTGTTCTCTGCTGTTCTTATCTGCATGATAACTATGGACCTATCTAATTCTTGGGGGCTGCCCCCTAATTTTATGCTCTGAGCACAGTACTGGGCATTATTTTCCTAGTGGAGCACAGTAGCCACCCCCACACACACCTCTGGCCAAGGGGCTCTGGAAGTTATCTGTCTTCCAGATGGCCATCTGTCAATCTCTGGGCAGGGGCAGGACTTACAGGGCCCTTCAGCCAATCGGAGATGTAGGAGACCCTCCCACCCTTCCCTGGAAACTGATAAATGGCCATCTGTCAATCTCCAAGCAGAGGCAAGACTTCTGGGACCCCTCAGTCAATCAGAGGTGTGTGTGGCGGGGGAGGGCACCACACGCCACCATGAAAATCTCTCCCCCTTCCCCCCATGCTTCAAGATGCCAGAGCTTCCTGCTTCCTGTCTCCATTTTCAGCTCCATTCCTTCTCCCCCTCCCCCACTTGCTAGCTGTTGTCCATCTTTTTTGTGGGGACTGGGCTTTTTCATCGGGGACCTACCAAATTCATGGTTTCCATGAAAAATCATAGAATTACAAATGTGGTAGGTTCCTAATGATAACGTACTAGGAGTTTTTTCCTCCCAAATGACCCCAGAATCCTTCCGGTTGCATCTTGGACAGTACATAGTAAGTAAGGCAGAGAAATGTGTCTGTTTTTATATATACCATATAAACATATGCATTTAATACTAGTTCTCACTGTTTGGGCCACATATCATATTCCCTGACCTCTTCTACCATTTTTATTAGTTCTAGGCATTTTTATATCGACCACATTGGTTGTTTCAAAACCTAAGAGGCTCTTTTTAATTTTGAAATTTCCAGCCAGTGCACAGCTGGAAAAATGTTTTAATGGCAGTGGTGAGGGGTTTTTTTTCCTTTACACTATTCTAAAGCCAAACTATTAAATAAAGTATTTTAGAATAAATCTTCTCTAATATGGATGGAACCTTGAGCTGCTGTAGGACTGAAAGGGAAACAAAAAGAAAAGATTTCAAGTTACAAAAATACATTCAATACTTGATATTTAGCAGCTGTTGCAGCCACTTAAAGGCATTTCCTTTACCAACACGTAGCATTTGATGTTTTGGAGCCCCTCTACTGAAAGAGGAGATCCATGTGTAGCATTTAAAGATAGGAAAATAATTTGTTTATATTAATACTTTGGAATATTTCCATAACTGGCTAATTGCTTAGACAACGAAATATGCTTTCAGATATGTTTAGCTGGAAAAATATACCATATGTTCAATCCAAGGCTAGTAGTATTGCCAAGCTTTAGGCCCTGAAATGATGTGCATCAAATTGTTGTGTAATTCATTAGCTACCTTTGTTCTCTCGCTTCATGCTTATTAAATCCCGTTTAATCAATTATACAGGTCCATCATACAAATCTGTAAAAGAAGTATTTGAGCCGTTGATGACTCAAAACTTTATAGACGTTTTAAGTGTTTTATTTGTTCAGTGGGCCACCAAGCATCATAACCTATCAAAGATTGCTAAGGTGATTTTAACAATGGAACATCTCCAAAATCTGAGAGCAATCAAAATATCCTAGAATGGTGAAAGAGTCATATCTTGATGCATCTTGATCCAGCCTTTATCATCAGTGAAACTCAGAGTCTCAGATTCTTCTTGGTGGGAGTGATTTAAATTCCAGGAAGTCCACAAAGTTGCAGTAGTTTATACCAGTAGTTTGATTTATTGGGTATATAACATTTTAATATTTTTATTTGTGCACGCGAGCATGCACACACACACACCTCATTAAAACTAAATTGTTGTATGGTAATGAATGACCATAAAGTTGAGTAATATGTCAGCTGTCTGATTTCTAGAAAAGTTGATCATCTACCTATGTGGATAGAATCTAGAAATATTTTAAACTATGTTTTGTTCAATGGTAATAAAAAAAAAAAAAGCCAGATAGTTTTAAGGGTCTTAACAGCTTTCCAACTTGGAAATTTTCAAGTGGTTAAATCTGTTTGGGTGAAATTGGCACAGTAGTCGTATAGCCATAACTTTTCATAGTTTCATAGATTTAGGGTCGGAAGGGACCT